ACAACAATCCTGAATGATAGGTAACACTAGGAGTTAAAGTGATCCAGGTCATTCAATGAGGTCTCCCCAGTTCTATTCCATACTCTAATCCCTTATCCTGCCTGTACTGGGTTATTAGGTAAAGGTAAAGGTTCCCTTGCTCGAAAGCCAGTCGAATCCGACTCTAGGGTTGCAGTGCTCATCTCCGTTTCAAAGCTGAAGAGCCAGCGCTGTCCAAAGACGTTTCCGTGATCATGTGGCCGGCATGACTAAACACCAAGGCACACGGAATGCTGTTACCTTCCCACCGAAGTGGTCCCTATTTATCTACTTGCAATTTCTTGCTTTCGAACTGCTAGGTTGGCAGGAGCTGGGGCCAGAGACGGGAGCTCACTCCGTCATGCGGCACACTCGGGTCTCGAACTGCTGAACTACTGACCTTCCACAGCCTGCAGTTCAGCGTCTTAACCACTTGAGCCACCGCAGCTAGGTTATTATGTTATTAGGTTATTAAAGGTAAAGATAAAGGTTCCCTTGCTCGAAAGCCAGTCGAATCCGACTCTAGGGTTGCGGTGCTCATCTCCGTTTCAAAGCCGAAGAGCCAGCGCTGTCCGAAGACATTTCCGTGGTCATGTGGCCGGCATGACTAAACACCAAGGCGCACGGAATGCTGTTACCTTCCCACCGAAGTGGTCCCTATTTATCTACTTGCAATTTCTTGCTTTCGAACTGCTAGGTTGGCAGGAGCTGGGGCCAGAGACGGGAGCTCACTCCGTCATGCGGCACACTCGGGTCTCGAACTGCTGAACTACTGACCTTCCACAGCCTGCAGTTCAGCGTCTTAACCACTTGAGCCACCGCAGCTCCCGCAGGTTATTAGGACTAGCTAAAAAGTAATAAAAAATGAGCAAACTATCAAGTCTTGGACAAGCTGGGTGTTTCTTAGAAGAAATTAAGAAATGAGGGGGGAGTGGAAGGAGTAGCATTACCAGCTCTGGGCTGGGAGATTCCTGGAGGTTTTGGGGGTGGAGCCTGGGAAGGGCAGGATTTGGGGCAGGGAGGGAACTCAGCAGGGTACAATGCCATAGAGTCCATCTTCCGAAGTGGCTATTTTTTTTCCAGATGAACTGATCTCTGTCACGTGGAGATCAATTGTAATAGCAGAAGATCTCCAGCCACCACCTGAAGGTTGGCAAACCTAGCTGAGAGGCATGATTTTAAAAGCCCCTTGTCAGTTCCTTGTAAAAGTTTGACAGTGGAATGGAGAAGAGAAGGTATTATGCTGACTCCATTAGGCTATGGGCATAACTTGGGGATGGGCAGTCTCAACCCACCCTCCCCACTGCTTAGTTTAAAGTAGTGTTTTTTAAGCTTTCATCTACTCCCACCTCACCCTCTGTACACTGCATTAGCGCATCCAAGCCACTAGTAAAGAAATTAAGACATACAAGGAGCACTCTGTGCAAAGCAACTTCCAGTGCAATCTAGTGCAGTCCTAAGCAGAGTTACACCTGAGTGTGAGGTGGGGGGTCAGAATGTTGGATTAAAATCTGGGGGACCCAGGTTTGAACCCTCTCCATATCAAGAAGAGGAGGAGGAGATTGGATTTATACCCTACCCTTCACTACCCGAAGGAATCTCAGAGCAGTTTACAATCTCCTTTCCCTTCCTCTCCCCACAACAAACACCCTGTGAGGTAGGTGGGGCTGAGAGAGCTCTGAGAAAACTGCTCTTGAGAGAACAGATGTGAGAGAACTATGACTGACCCAAGGTCACCCAGCAGCTGCATGTGAAGGAGTGGGGAATCAAACCCGGTTCTCCAGATTAGAGTCTGCACTCCTAACCACTACACCAAACTGGCTCACGGAATTTCACTGGATGACCTTGGGTCTGTCACTCACTCTCCACCTCACCTACCTCTCTGAAATAAAATGGAGGAGGTAAGAACTGTGAGTTACCATTGTAAGCTGCTTTGGGTCACCATTGGGGAGAAAAGTGGTATAAAATAAATAAATATAGAAACCGGCCAAACTAGCCTTTCTGTTTGAAGAATCACCTGCCCTGCCCATAATAATTAGCACTGCTGATCATGTTCCTAACCTTTCATCTTGTTGAGAGTCTCTGTGTTACCAACAGGGCTACCATGAGTGTCCACCAGGGGTATTAGATACTCTCAGGGGTATTAGATACTCTGAAGATAATTATCCTATTGGCCAGCAAATGTAAATGTTTTGATACCTCCCCCATATTTTCAGTGGCATCTCTGCACTGATTGTAACCTGTACAGGGGTTCTCAGTCCTTGTAAGAAAAAAATATAGAATGGCAGGAAGGAATATGAGTAGCTGTGTTATACCTTCTCTGCTTTTTTTTCTTTTTCTTTTTTTTGAATGTAAGGTTTCCAGATTAGTGGAAATTCTTCTTCTGGTGATCAGAAGAAAGTTAAAAAGCAATTTGTGTCCTTAGTTTTTCCTAATTGCTCTGAGAACAATGATGGGAAGTCACTTAGCCGACAGATGTCAAGTGAATCACAGTTCAGTTGACTTTGGCCAAAGAGGTAATGATTCATGACTTGGGCATCATTTTAGGAACAACAACAAACAGTCCTGGGAACGAATGTGCTTTGGTTGTTTTTCTGCAATAGGCTAGAATGATGCAGAGGGCAAACAACAGGTGGTAGCTAACTTCATCTTGCTCTGCCTGTGTGTTTGCAAGAAGCAGTTGGTTGGCCATGGCGGGGCTCAGTGCTGGTCTAGAAGGACACCTTTGGAATATGCTTCTCAGGGATGTAATCTCTTTTGCTCAGTTTTAGTCATCAGGTATAGTTATGGGAAGGGAAATTTCTTTTTTCTAAAATATACTTTTTTGATATAGCCATTGATTACTCTTTCTTTTTTTCTCTCTTTTAAAAGAGGAGTTTCTCTTTTAATCAATGCATCCTTTTGTAACTTCAGCCCTTGCAGTTATTTTATGCTATACGCTACAGGGTGGTACTCTAGCTGGAGTACACAAACATTGTCTTACACACCCAGGGAAATGCTCATTGCCACTTTGGGGTCAGGGAGCAATTTTTCTCCAGGCCAGTTTGGCTGGAGATCCTGGAGGTTTTTTGTCATCTTTTGGGCATGGAGCAGGGGCCACTGGGGGATGGGAGGAAGTATTTGTGAATTTCCTGCATTGTGCAGGGGGCTGGACTGGACAGCCCTGGAGATCCCAACTCTATGATTCTATGATTTGGGAAGACGTTGTCTGCGTCTGAGCACCTACAGTGGAAGAGTCTGAAATTTTGCAGAACCTCCCTCTTGCTCACCCTCTTTTCAAATTTCTCTGTGATCAAAACACAATTGTTTAGAAACTGACTCAGAATTACTTAAAAAGTGGATAGAAATGGATTGTTTGATTTCAGGGGGAAATTGGGTGAAGAAGAACCTAGAAGATTTCTCTTAATAACCCTACAAATGAAGGCATTTCATCTCATTCCACTGAGTAATTTTACTTGTAGTTCTTTTCCAATGTTTGGATTCTGTTAGTATCTTTTCAATTTGGTCCATTGTTCTGCAGTGGACAGCAGAACAAAACAGGAAGATTAACAGGAACTTGGGAGAAAATTACCCTCTCCAATAAAAAGTTAAAATTGTTCATATGGTATCTATTATGGGAGTGGGTACTTTACAGCTGAACTACAAATGATGCTGGGCATCAGAGACCAAATCCATGACACAGAATTTAGTCACAAAAAAGTAGCCCATGTGTGGATAACATGGATGAAGCTTAATGGTGCTAGGGGAGAGAGAGAGTGGTTTTAAATAGTTCCTCTTCATGCCATTTCCCTTCTTAAAAATGCCTTTCCCCAGGGCTGTGTTAAATGGTAATAGGGGGGAAAGACACTGGCCCTTACTGTGCTTGTCTTTTTTCCCTTTGGAGGGTACAAAAAGCAGCCTAAGGTGACCATTTTTGATCAAGGAAATGGCACAGGAGAAAGAGTTAACCTTCCTCTCACAAAGCACAGTGGCCCCAATTCATAATACCCTCCTTGCAGAGATGTTTTTTGCAACTCAGTTATACAACTGGGGATACAATTATGGGTTCACAATGTCACATGCAGTACTTTCAACAACAGATCACTCACTGTGAGCCCCAGTCCTTCAAAAGCCAGTTTGGTATGTGGTTAGAAGCACAGATTCTAATCTAGGAGAACCGGGTTTGATTCCCCACTCCTCCGCATGCAGCTGCTGGTGTGACCTTGGGTTAGTTACAAGTTCTTTCAGAGCTGTTCTCTCAGGAACAGTTCTTGAAAGAGCTCTCTCAGCCCCACCTACCGCACAGGGTGTCTGTTGTGGGGAGGGGAAGGGAAAAGAGATTTAAGCCACTCTGAGACTCCTTTGGGTAGTGAAGGTCGGGTTTAAATCCAATCTCTTCTTCCTCGTCTTCTCTTCAAAAGGCCACCCATTCAAGTTGTTCTCAAAATCATGCCAAGGTAGACAGTTTTCAAATTCGGAAGAAGCAAGTTTCCCCGTGTATATTTTTATAAGTTTGTACGTGAATAATGCTATGAAATAAAAAACAAAATGACATGGGGGTAAAAAAAACCCCTTACAACTTCCAAAGAAAGTTGAACCCACAGTATAGCAATGAAATACATTCAAATTTAAATGCAATTTATGTTGACAGACATAAAAGATGTTTTACAGGTTAAAATAAGCAACAGTTTGAATTGCCTTCGGACACACTGTTTAGATAAAAGTATAATATTGCTGTACTTTATTGATACTGTCTAATGTTTAAATTTTCAGCATATTTACAATTTCTTGCTATTAACATTTTAGCACCTAAGATTAAATCTAAAGCATATTTACATTTTCTTTTTTACATCATGTTTTAAAGCAAGAAGAATAACTTTGGAAAGTCTGAGAATTTCTGTACTAAGCTGTTATTGTTAACTTACATTGAATGTTTCTGTGTTTGTGTGCCCTCCTGATCTGAACCACATACTAATTTCTACAAGTTGTGTGATTACTAACAGAGAGCAATCACCTCACAGCCTTGTACCGGAAAGAGGAGACCATCAACGTCCGGGGAAATGGCCACATTCACAGCCCCCGTTTCCCGAACAGCTACCCACGGAACTTGTTGTTGACATGGAAGCTTCTTTCACCTGAGAATACAAGGATACAACTGGTGTTCGATAGTCAGTTTGGACTGGAAGAGCCAGAGAATGAAATCTGCAGGTGAGCTGGGGGGGGGCACTTTGCAAAATGTGAATCTTAACATTGCAATAAAAGCGAACAGCCAAGACGAATTCTCGGTCAGCACATTTGAGGAAGACTGTGGGGATTCTATTTCAGTTTCACAAGATGACTGGGTACAAAAGTTTAACTCCATCCGTGTCAGCTTCCTTCCCCCAAGCAGAAGGTTCTTCCTGTGCCTTTAACCAATTGCCAAACAGAAACTGAGAGTTTGACTTCCAGAGACCACAAGGATGACCTCACCTGTTAACCATGCAGAGACTGTCTGAATTAACTCAGCAAACAGCGCTGCTAAGTGCTAAGACCAGGTGTGCTTTTAAGTATATATATTCTAAAACCAAAAAATCCACATTGTAAAAACAAAACTTAACAGCTTGCATAGCAGAAAGAATAAGTCTAAGTGAAGATATGTGGGTTTAAAGATTAGATAAAGACCACACGTTTTATACGTATATTCAAACCAGAAGACTGAAGACTAGACTCTGAGCTCGTGTTGTGACCTGTTTACCTGTGTAGTTTAAAAGATTTAGTATACCAATATGCAGGGGTCATTTCGTAGAAAAAGAGCTAGGGGGACTCATTAGCATAACTCATTAGCATATGCCACACCCCCTGACATCACCGGAAGTGTGTCCTCCCCACAGCCGGCGGCGACCTCCAGCGGGCACCAGCAGGGAGCTCCAGGTCCCGCCCTCCCGCACCTCACCCGGGGGGATGGCGTCCCCCCGCGTCCCCCCCCAAAATGACCCCTGCCAATATGTGTATCTCAGGGTCAAACTACATGTGGAACAGGATTACAGTTCTTGCCCCAGTATCATGGCACTTTCCCCCTCTCTTCCTTCTGTGACTGCTTTTTTTTTAAAAAAAAGAACAAAACAAAACTTGAATTATATCTCAGGGGATCCTATCATGGATCCTCAATGTCAAATGTAGTTTGGCCCTCAGTAAAGGTCATTTGATGATATTGGTATTCAAGCCACAGCGTTCAGTTTGCAAAGGCTGAGAAAGGCTGTTAATGATAGGACATTTTGGTGGTCATTACTAGGGTCTCCCTTAGTTGGAAGCAATTTAACGGCACATAACACACACAAGCATGAAGGAACTCCAGGTACCAAATGTTTTCAGGGCTTCCCCCTATTCTCAACTTCTGTTTGGAATGTGCATTTGTGCATTGCGAGAATATCGCAGGATGTTATTATCATGCAGTGGCTGGGGTTAAGATAATTCAGGGCAGTTCTAGGTCTTTAACTGATTTAATTTGAATTTGTTCTTTTCATATATGGTTAATGGAACATGATTTTACACCTATTTACTGAGATGTAAATTTTACACTATTCAAGGCAACCTTAGGAAGCATATTTAGAAATACATCTCGGATAAAGCAAGCTGAACCTTTATTTTATTGGGGGTGGTGGTGGTTGTGTGTGTGTGTGTGTGTGCTTGCAAGCACGGAAGTCATAGTTACTTCTAGTGACCCGTAGTGGGGCTGGGACATTTCAGAGAGGTGGCTTAATAACCTGCCTCTGTGTCCTGGCCCTTTCCATCTACGTGCCAGGATCAGCCCTGCTTAGCTTCCAAGATCTGACAAGATTGTTCTTGCCTGGGCTATCCCAGTCAGGGCCAGGCTGAACCTTTATGAAAGATTGCAAAGGCCCCTCGTGTGTGTGTGGGGGGGGGAGGCAGGGAATAAATCCAGTAACTATTTTGTCCAATAAAAATAGGTCATTAAAATCACTGTTACAAGTGCTAAATTTGTATTTTAGATTCAGTTCCCACATTAACATTCCCAACAGGTCTTTCGATGTGTTTGGAAAGCATCCAGAAAAACTGGGGCTAAAAGAATGAGACAAAGTATTGCTACATGGAGCTAAGGAGCAAGCCAGTACATAATGTCAGACTAGTAGACAGTGTGTGAAAGTTAAGATGGTCTCTTTAACTTATGATGCCTAGATTTTTGGAGGAGGAGAGAATTTGTAAGTGTGTTGATTTTCCTCTTAAACTGAAGGTTTCTTTAATGAAGTAGTAAATTCCTTCTGGGAAAACTTCTGGGTTTTCCCAGAAGGAATTGACTAATTCATTAAAGAAACCTCCAGTTTAAGAGGAAAATCACCACACCTGGGGTGATGTCATGCCTTTTTAGGAACTGGCAAAAACCCTATAGAAAACCATAGAGGTTTTGGCAATTCCTAGAGTGTTCATTTCCCTCTTAAACTGAAAGTTTCTTTAATGAACTAGCAAATTCCTTCTGGGAAACCCCAGAAGTTATGTTATACCTCTTTAGGCATTGGCAAAAAACACTATAGAAAACTATAGAGGTTTTGACAATTCCTAGAGAGGACTGATGTCTCTTCTGAGGGAAACTGGTTTTACAGTACAGTTTCAGCCAATTTCTAGAGAGGTGTTATGTCCCTTCTGTTATGTACCATCAGATGACAGCCATGTCTAGGTATAGGCAGCCCTACTGAGGAGCAGAACACAAAGTCAATGAGAGAAAAATTCTTGTTGTGCTCTTCCATGACCCTGAGAACTAGGGATTCCAGAAAAAGAATAGCCATGCATTACAGCATTAAAAAAAAATACCAAAGATGGAAAGTAGCCTGTTGTATTCTGCAAAAATTAAAACAATTGCTTTTCAGCACTCAGTGGCTGATTTTAAAGTGGTTTCTTTCTGTTATCTATCAAGTTGCATCTGGCTTATGGCAACTCCACAAGGTTCTCAAGGCAAGAAACGTTCAGAGGAGGTTTGCCATTGCCTGCCTCTGTGTCATGATCCTGGTATTCCACAGTGGTCTGCCATAGGCTTACCAAATGCCGGCGGGGGATCTGCAGCTCTTTACAGGATCCGTGCCATGGGGGACGGTGATACACGGTGCATCTGCCGTCGCCATGATGTGATGCTACGCGTCGCTCTGGCAACGGGACTCCAAACAGCCCTGTTGCCAGAGTGACGCATAGCGTCACATCCTGGCGACGGCGGGTGCACCGCATATCGCCGTCCCCTGCGGCAGGGATCCTGTAAAGAGCTGCAGATCCCCCGCCGGCATTTGGTAAGCCTAGTCTGCCATCCAAGTACTAACCAGGGCTGACCCTGCTTAGCTTCCAAGATCTGATGAGATCGGGCTAGCTGGGGCCATCCAGGTCAGGGCTTGATTAACTTAGAAGGGTACCACTCTACTTAGGAATGCACCACAGGTTTCAGCTACTGAGCAGAGTGGGCTGAGAAGAAGTGAATAGGATTGAGCAAATCAGGGCATGGTACGGATAGGCTAAAGGAGGCTTTGTAGAGCAATGACATGTGGAAGGTGGATATGGCTGTGTGTTTTGATGTATCCTTCAAGAGGGATTATCATTATTTAGAAAGCACCTGTTGTTTGAAAAGCAAATATAAACCAATCCCTTGCCAACTGGTTACAAGCCAGCAAAAGAGGCTAAGACTAGAAGGGGGAAGGAGCAATAAAATGTTTAGAAAAGTGCCATGGAACTCTTGTTAATTACCAGATTTAAAGATTACTGTGATGAGCGGAAGACCAAAGAGAAGAGATGGTCTTTCTTGTAAGAAGGGAGGTAGTGTTTTTACTTAGGTTCCCTGAAAAAAATGTGGAAAATATTACTAAAATGTCTAGTTTATGATTAAAAAATTGTTTCCTTGGTGCCAGAGCCAACTAATTTATGCAGTCACCAAATCGCTTGCTCACAACTTTAATGCCAGCAGCTCACAAAGTAGAATTTCGGCTCACAAGACTCCACAACTTAGAGGGAGCATTGGTTGTAATAATAGATCAAGCAGGTTCTCTAAATTCCCAGCTTTCTTTCTTTTTTTAAAAGCAAGTCTCTTGCTCGTTCCCTCACAGAAATATAAGGGAAAAGCCATCTCTCCATGAGGGAGGGGCTAGAGACTTACTTTTTAAAATGAAAGCTGGGAATTCAGAGAACCTGCTTGAACTATCATTACAACACTATAGCATTATATTGTTCTTTTATGGTCATTTTTTTTAAAAAAGGAAGGTGTTCTGATGCCACTGATAATGATAATGGCAGCACCCTCCCTTGAAATCCTCATTATTCAATCCATGCGCAGAAGAAAATAAACTGACTCCACAATAGGGTTGCCAGGTCCTTCCAAGTCCATGGTGGGGGACTTTGTGGAATGTTCCTGGAGGGGGCGGGGACATCTCCAACGTGATGACATCATGCAGACATGATATCATCACGTTGGGGACCGGTGTCCCCCACTTCTTGCCAAAAGCATTTAAAGAGTACCTTGGAGCTGGCAACTCTATTTAAAGGCTGCACATGCCTGCATACCAAGCTGCGGACACGAGAACCATGTAGGGTGCTTTGAGTTCCATGGAGAAAAGATGGGATAGAATGTGTTTAATATATAGAATGTACATATAAGGCTGCACATGCCTGCATACCAAGCTGCTTTGAGTTCCGTGGAGAAAAGATGGGATATAGAATGTACATACCTTTCATACTGATTGCTCTGGGAATCCAGGTACTCTGGCAAGACAGAGACTGGCTGTACCCTCAGAAATGTGTAAGCTCTGAACTGTCATCTGATTTGCAAACAGTTTGGTACATGATGCAATACGTGCTGTTGTTTGTATGGCAGTCTTGTCAATCAAGGAATAGGAAGGGTGAAGGAGTAGATAAGGAAATATGACTAAGTCATCGTCAGTATGCAGAGTTTGTTCTTTTTAATGTTTATTTGCATAAAGATACAATTTGGACTCATTTGGACACACAAAGGAGCCATATTCTTCACTACACTGGCTGCTTTATGGCTCTTTTGCTTTCATGGAATGTTCAAAGCATATGGATGAATTTTAGCCCATAATAAATAAACTGCGAAGTTCTGTTGGGGATATTTTAAAAAAAAAAATTAAAAGGGGCTTGTTGCCAAGGAGAGATTCAGCACGCGTGAATTTCATGTGACATGTTTCCAAGGAAAGATCTCTGTGGTTACAGCACTATCGTTTTAAGAGTTTGAAATATCAGATTTAAATACACTGTTTGGCTCCATTATTGTTCAGAGGGGTCAAAGCAACTTGGCATAGTTGGTGATGCTGAATCAAATTTCCATAACAATATACTGATTTGGCCTTTCAGTCTCTTAACTATGGGCCTGCTGTTCTCTTCTCTCTACAGTGCAAATTCCTCCCTTCCCGGGTTAGCATTTTCAATGGTATAGCCTTACACTTGCAGTGATAGTAGCCGAGGTCGAAGTTAACTGGAATTAGCTTGTAACCAGGGTTTGTAAATAGGATTGCCAACTTGCAGGTGGTGGCTAGATAGTTCCCGGAATTACAACTGGTCTCCAGATGACAAGAGAACAGTTCCCCTGGAGAAAATGGTTGCTTTGGAGGGTGGACTATATAGCATTATACCCCACTGAAGTCCCTCCGCTTCCAAACCCTCCCCTCCCCAGGCTCCAACCCCCCCCCCCAACCTCCAGGTATTCCCAACTCGGAGCTGGCAACTCTATTTGTAAACCAAACTGAAACCTCTGTACTACATGAATTAAGCTGATTAGATGTGCTGTTCTAGTTCCTGCAGTGATTTTTGGCATGTGATGCTTTGCTGCTAGTCCACAAAGCTCTTCGAGACAATGTGACCCATGCAGTTTCCACAGGTCAGTTTTCCTGGTCAGCACTGCGGTGTCCTAGTAGAAAAGCTAAGAGCCTTTGTCCCGGATAATTCCCAACTCACACTTGCATAATACAGCATCAATACCAGACTATCTACTGGACCTGTCCTTGGGCTGATCCTGCCAGTTAAAATTAAAGCCCAAAGCCCTGTCTCATATTATCAGTGCTACCAATTCATATTCCGTAGGCTCAGAATGCAAAATTTGGTGCCCCATAATTCTCGCCTTGCATCTTAGGGGAGAATTGCAGCCCAAGAGTTCTTTTTGGCTGGGATTCAAATCTCATCTGCAGGCAAAACTGCTCCACACATTTCTCCCTGCCTGCACAGTTGTGATTGTGAGCGTAGTATCAGGTGGGCAGGAGGAAGGAAGTATCTCTCTTTGCTGCAACTGTATTCATGGAGAGGAGAGTTGCCACATTCCCACTGGGGGGCAAGGTATTTCCTGTCCCCAGCGGGCCCTTCTTGCCGCCTCTTAGCTGGGCAATGGGAGAAAAAAATAGGCAGTAGGGGAAAAATGAGGAGGGCAACTGCTAGCATCCCGACATGCTGACATCACTTTTGACATGACCGAAAGTGACGTCAGAGCATCACCAGCAATGTGCTAGCATTTAGTCAGAACTCTGTGATTAAACCAAAAAGTTTGGGTCAAAGGCTGTAGCATCAATGGCAATGCAATGACGTCACTTCCGGTTGCCTTGGAAATTACATCAGCACATCACTGGAGGGGCCTGGAGACCTCCCGCTATTACAACTGATCTCCAGACAATAGATATCAGTTGCCCTGGGAAAAAGTGACTGTATGACATTGTACCCTTCTGAGGTCCCTCCCCTCCCCTCCCCAAACCCTGTCCTTCCCAGGCTTGACCTCCAAAATCTCCAGGTATTTCCCAACCCAGAGCTGGCAGCCCTACTTTTCTGGCAATGCCCCCCCCCCAATGGTGAGTCTCCCACCAGTTGCCATCCTTATACTGGCAACCCTAGAGGAGAGGAAAGAGGATTCTTCCCTCTTCCTGTTCACCTGCAAAAGCTGCTCCAGCAGCCATTGGAAGGTTGGGAATATGGTTCATTGGCTGAAAGAAATTCAGGCACCATGTAGGGGGCCCAGTGATGTTGTGGGATTCATTTCTGGGGCATCCAGAGTCTGTAACTGAGGCTTCGTGGTGGGGGGAAAAAGTCTCATCTAAACAACTTGGTTTACTGAGCCCATTTCTGAACAGTGAGCTAATCATAAAGAAAGATTTTGACACCCGCTTCTTGTTCTGTCCCACCCTGGCTCCAGGTACGACTTTGTGGAAGTGGAAGACATATCTGAAATCAGCACCATTATCCGAGGACGATGGTGCGGGCACAAGGAGGTCCCTCCAAGGATAACATCAAGAACAAATCAGCTGAAGATAACTTTCAAGTCTGATGACTACTTTGTGGCTAAACCCGGATTCAAAATTTATTATTCCCGTGTGGTAAGTGACAGGGCCACTTGTTGGATTAAGACAAAAGCTGTGGAGAGGAAGGACAGTGGGAGCTTTGAACAAAAGCAAAAAACCCCGCAACCTGACAAGCTTTTCCGTCAGTATTTCTTTCAGAGGATCAAAAAGTAAAATAAGAGCTCAGGGGAAACCATAAATTAAAACTGGTTTCTCTTTGTTTTAGTGATGTGTTTCAGAAATCCTATCAGAGTCTGGACAGAAGGGACAATCTGAGGGCCCGATCAAAGAACCAGAACAATAACAATGGAATCTTTCATTTAATTATCATGTGCTTTGTAGCTTTAGTTTAATTCTCATGTGAAGTCAGAGAGAAGAAAAAGTGTCTTTTGGGAGGGACTTCTAGCTCAGACATGCATGGCTGGCCTAAACAACAAAAGCTGCGGCAGGACAGAGTATGCCTTAACAGGTTGTTGATGTAGGTGTCTTGTTTACTCTCCAGCACCAAGGCCTTGCACGCTCACTACTCCTTTGCATGCTCACCACTCCTGAGAGTCAGTGTGGTATAGTGGTTAAGAGCAGTGGACTCAAGAACCAGGTTCGATTCCCCACACCTCCACATGAAGTCTGCTGGGTGACCTTGGGCCAGTCACAGTTCTCTCTCAACCCCACCTGCCTCAGAAGGTGACTGCTGTGGGGAGAGGAAGGGAAGGTGATTGTAAGCCTTTTTGAGACTCCTGAAGGTCAAGAAAAGTGGGATATAAAAACCAATTCTTGTTGTTCTTCTTTAAATATGTATGAAGGCAGACTTTGTATTAGGCCGGGGGCATCAGGACTCATGGCAAACTATAGATCTCCTTTCCCCCTCAGTTCCGTTGAATCCTTTTCTTCCAGTCTTGCTCTCTCTGGGTTTTCCCACCTTCATTTTTTTCACTACTATGGGCCTGCTTCTTCTTTGCCACCTCACTGTCCCAGTTCATCCACCCTCTTTAAGTTACAGGCAAAATATATTTTGACTGAACATTAAGGAAAAACTTCCTAATGGTAAGAGTGGTTAAACAACACAGCAATTACTTAGGGGTGGTGGGCTCTCTATCACTGGAGGTTTTTAAGCAAAGACTTGGACACGTCATCTGTATGAGATAAACTAGCTTTGAATTTCCTGTACTGAACAGGAGGATAGACTAGATGGCTTCTAAGGCCCCTTCCAACTCTCTGACACTCGGTAAGAGCTGTGCAGCATGTCTACACAATGTGAACAAATCTATACAAACCACCAAATAGCCGCGTGTGAACGGGACCAAACTTCAGCAAAAATAGAAACGAAAGTGGAGTAGGCTCAGTTGGCTCATTACTACTCTATTCCTGTGGAAACAGAAATACCCAACATATCTCAGTTCGAAAGAAGACTAGACTGATTGCTGGAACATATGAATATATATCCTTCCCCATCATTAAGTCAATTATAAAATACATTTAACCATCTAAGGAAAGCAACCAAGGAGTAGAAACTTAAAGAAAATGTTATTGAAACCTTTATTTTAAGAAAAAAAATCCGAAAGAGTCTTTATCTGCCCACTGCTGAAGACAAGGTTTTGAGCTTCAGCAACTATTGGTTGGGCTCTGCACACACTGTTCTTCTGCGTAAATTGCTACATTGTGGAAGTCTTTAATTTGAATGGAATTTAGCAAAACAACAATTTATGGTATTCTCCCTGGGTATCACCGTGCATAAAAATGAAGGAATGCAACATTGTTTGATACTCCGGAGTATTCCTCTTGCAGTTATCCAGTTTTATGAGAAGGCGTGTACAGCTATAGGACCCATGGGGGCAGGGGTAGAAAGAAAGAAAGAAAATATGTATGGCTCCAACGCAGCAGGTTTTCAACAGTGAAAAATGGTAAGTATTGTTGCTGAGCATCTATCATGTAAGGCATGTGAATGGAAACGTCTTTTCCATCCTGGGTAATCTTTAGGAGAGCTTTATCTGTTCCAACATAGCAAGAGTCCAGAATGTTCCTCTTTGCTGTGGAATACCTGAGCGTTTTGTGGCAGAGGTAAGATAAAGATGCACCTTTCTGCTTTCTGGTGAATGTACTTAAAAATAGTGCATTTTAATCTGTACATTTCATATTCAGTATCTTTGGTTAGTATTCTGCATAATCTCTCTGGACATAGCACGCATGAGATCTACTGCGAACTGGCAGTCCCTGAAGTTTAAACTCTGCATCTCTTCAGGCACTTTGTTTTTTCTGAAACATTGTCTATTATATATCGTGAATTTCTAATAGACTGAAAAGTGGATGCCTGTCACCAGAATGTTTTCTTCCTTCCCTCCCCCCACCTCCCCCAGAAGCTTTGAGAGAAGTTTTATGTCAAGTTAGGCTAGGAAGACATTAACTCACACAAGGATTTGGTTAGGCCTGACATACAACAGTGGTGTTATTGGTTTATTAATGTGGTGGTTTAGTTAGACAATATGAATATGCAAACATTTTGGGAGACTGTGCATACCCTTACCTGTGAAAACATTTTGAAAAGTGGAATGAGTCTGTTGCCAGCCCAGATATTAGGATAGCCACAGCTCCCACTTTGGAGACCTCCTGCCCTGGCCCCTGAAGTGGGAACAAAATGGGGAAGAATTGGTGTTGTCCCAATGCCACAATATCACTTCTGGCATGGACCCAGAAGAGAGGTCACCACATCAACTCAGCACTCTAGAATTCACCCTAAAAGTTATGTCTCTTCCAGGCTCACAGTGGAGGTGAGGCTGCGGTGTGAGGTCACCACATCAGTGTAATGCTCTGGGATTCACCCTAAAAGTTACGTCACTTCTGGAGTCACAGTGAAGGTAATGCTGAGGTTCTTCCTCCAATAAGGACCCTTAAGTTGGAAGAAGGCTCCTTAGGCTGGAGGAAGGCTTCACACTTTCCTTAGTGTAGTGGTAAGATGTAGGACACTAGTTTAGGCCAGCAAAGTATCAGTTATGTAGTATATTTTTAACACTTCTGGGTTCTCTTCTGGGTAAAATCGTCATTTTACCTGGGGAGGGTGCAATTTTACCATAGGCACCCCAGTGTCTGGACTTACCAGGTTGTCTGGTGGATTTAGCTTCCTCCCTCGCTGCTCTCGCCCTCGCCCTCTCTCTGTTGAGTGGCAGGAGCAAAAATAGGCACAGAACAACATTTCATAACACCGTTATATCACTATGCTCTAGGAATTCCCTAGTCTCTATGGTTTCTCAATAGAGATTGAAGTGATTCCTAGAGTGTTATACAGTGCGGTTCAACATTGTTTGCTCATTCTCTGCTCCGCAAATGCTCCCACTCCTCCTATGCTCTCAACTAGCTACCTTAACAGTATCTTATATGAGCAAGGAGATGTTGGATCAATGCATTTGAGAGAAGCCACAAAACCATTTGCTGTATCCTCCAAAAATGCCACCACATCTTTATTGGAGAGTGATGAAGGGGACTTACCAGGTTGTCCCATACTTCATATACTCTTTACCATAATAATAAAGTACTCAGTTTGAAGGAAATGAGTCCCATTTTGTATTTTGTTTATCTCCATCCTGGAGTTCTCTGCTGCAGGGTTAGCAGGCTTGTATATCTCCCTACCCCCTCCAGTTCCTCTATTATTACAACTATACCAGAGTGTCTAACCTAATATGGAATTCAACGGGCATGTCGCTAAGAAGCTGTTACTAGTTCTGCAGATGCTGAATGGATTCTGAGTAATAAAGCAAATTTGATTTTATTGGATCAGATAATCAAATAGCATTTGCATAATTCAGAATTTGGTTCTCAGTACTGTAGTATAATTTAAGTTTTTGACACCGAGCAAAGCGATGTCTGTGAATGATGCCTTGGGTCTCTTTCTAATCATTGTGCTTTTATGGATTTAGCAAGCAGTGCAGGTTTTATCAGACATACTAAAGGTACATCTTGCTTTTGATGCCAAAATTACTGTGTTAAATCAATGTCTATGAATTTTCCATGAAATTGCATTAGAATGATTGCAGTGGTGTTTGCTACCTTACCCCCCCCCCAAAAAAAATCTATGAACCTCCATCAGAAAGCATGAAGACCACTTCATCTGCTGGAGATAACATCAAAAGCCAGATAAATTCTTCTGGAAACAGTATAAGTGGGTTAAAAAATTAGTTACAAACACTCCCTGGAGATAGAGGAACTCATCGAGGGGTCCCCAACCTGGTGCCCACGAAGTGCTTTTAGAAAGTGGGCAGGGCTAGGAGGGGCTTTTGTCCAGCAGGGCTTCTGATTGGCTGTGTAGATAAAAGGTTATTAAACAGCTTCTGCCTGAAATGTCAAAGTGTTACAATGAGAGTTTTATTGAACACAATTCCCTGACATTTTATAGAATCACAGAGTGTGAAGGGGCCAATCAGGCCATCTAGTCCAACCCCCTGCTCATTGCAGGATCAGCCTAGAGCATCCCTGACAAGTGTTTCTCCAGCTGCTGCTTAAAGACTGCCAGTGAGGGGGATCTCACCACCTCCCTAGGCAGCTGATTCCGCAGTTGCACAACTCTTATTGTAAAAAAAGTTTTCCTAATATCCAGCTGGTACCCTTCCACCCTTAATTTAAACCCATTATTAGTTTAAACCCATTATTGTGAGTTCTATCTTCTGCTGCCAACAGGAGCAGCTCCCCGCCCTCCTCTAATGACAGCCCTTCAAATACTTAAAGAGAGCAATCATGTCCCCCCTCAACCACCTCTTCTCCAGACTGAACACTCCCAAGTCTCTTGGCCTTTCTTCATAGGGCTTGGTCTCTTATGACTGGCTTCATCTAAGGCAGCCATTTTACTGTTGGCTTTACCTCCTGCGGCAGACATTTTGTGATTCTGCCCACTGCCCTGTGTCAGAATTTCAAAGTGGCCAATAGGCTCAAAAAGCTTGGGGACCGCTGCTTTAGTCCAATGCCAGAATCCATCCAGTATCTCTGTTTGAATAATATAAGGGATACTGTCTCAATGGTGGTTCTATATGTTGGAATATCTTCATTCAGAC